CTGTCACTTTCTCCATCACTCTGATGAGTATGTGGTCAGTTAATCTGCCGGCTTTGTTTGGGTCTCCAACAAGATGCACATACGCCCGCACGGTGCGACCAGATAAGCTAGAGTGTGTGTGTTTATGTGTGAATAGGAATGAATTCATGGCTCTGTTTGCAAATGTGTGTGTATGTGTTGTGTCAGATCGTGGGGGGCCTGGAGGCACCATATGGTCTCTGTGTCGCTCATAGACCTCTCTGTTCTCCTCTCTCGCCTCCTCCCTCCTTTCTTTTTCATCACTGTCTTCTCTTTTTCACTGCGCCTCTTTGATCTCGCATCTCTCTTCCTCCTCCTCCTCTCCGCTCCCCACTGTTTCAATCGTTTTGCCTCGCTTCCTCTGTTTCACTCTTTCTGTCACTTCATTTCATATCCTCGCCCTCGACTTTTTTTTAAAAGCTCTTATTGTCTTGTTCTGTGGTGTTATGTCACTTTTAAGCTCTTTTAACCATGGCTAATTTTTGGGTACCACTTTCTCTTTTCATAACCTGACAAGCAAAATGTTTTTGTTGGTGGCGTAGATCTAAAGTATCAACATCTTCCATCGCACTTCCTTTTTTTGGGGAATTTGCATGAATGAAAAAAAACCTGAATTCAAATGAAAATCTTTCCAATGAACATTCACTTTTTTTTCCATAGTATATAAACCATCTACAAATAATAAAACCACTTGACTGATATAATGTGTTTCAAGTGACAAAGAAATTATACAATAATCCTGCGATGGAAATACATTTATTAATCATTTGGCTTTGAACAGTATTTTCAAATTGTCTTTGAACACTCGAAAACACCCATAAAGCATCCTCCACAACCTTTCAGGAATGTAATATCGCTTCCTGTCTCATGCAGGTTGCAGCGTTTCATCATAGTTTTACAGCCATTAGTTGAAAATATGGCCAACTCTCGCTGACACTGAAAAATAACACTTCTTCCTTTATTTTTCTTGTTGATCTGTTTTCTGTCATACAGAAAGCTTTTGCTTTAGCCCTGCTGATGAAAGCACACCTGTGTGAATGGAAAGCATCTTTTGTGTCCTTTCTGCCTGTCAAATTCCATTTCTAAATGAACTTCATCAGCATGAGAGGGAAATGCATCCTTGATGATCGGAACTCATTCTCTGTACTGTACTAATCTGACATATTCGTTGGTTTCTCATTTGATGGGATGCCTACCCCTTTCTACTCCTATATGCATCTTCCAGTGATTCAGTGTGTGTTTGTGTGTAAGTGCGTGCGTGACAGCGTGTGAGGACTTTGAAGAGTAATAGCAGAGATCAGAGAGCTTCCAAGCTTTGTGAGAAAAATACAGAGACGGTGAAAAAAGCAAAGGAGAGAGAGGCAGAGAAAACACCTGTGGTTACAATGCTTGGCAGTATTGATTATGCACATTTCGTGTCAAAAAAGAATATTCAATTGGACTGAGTGCGAGAGACCGTTTTGGCAATATTATGTTACATTCATGCCAAGAACGTAATTGCACCAAAGGGATGGAACGTTTTTGATGACTAATGGAGAATGTTATAGATCCTTATGCCTAAAAGGCTTTAGCAATACTGTTAATACAATAGTTAGGTTGATAAAGCTTAATGAAATGCACGGAGACAGGTAATGCAGTTATGTTGATCTGAATTCAATGCAGAGACGGATGGAAGGATGGCGGAAAGGTAGAGGACAAGTGAAGAGAGAAAGGAAGAGGTATGAGGTGGAGGGGTGGAGATGGAGGGAGACCGAGCGGACCGGAGGGGGGTGTATCTATTGACATCGGTGCTGTGTGGGTGTGTGGAGGGTCTGACGGATAGTGTTGCCCTGTTTAGTGTCTCCGGTGTTACGCGGTAGTTTGCGGGGGCGTCGACACCTCTGGAACAATAATACCCCTCCAACAGGAAGACAAAGATCCCTGTTTTCATGGTCTCTGTTCTTGCAAAGCCATATATTTGCGGCAGAGATCGCAGCATGTGTTCATGTGCGTACGCTCGTGTCATATTAAACGTATAACAAGAGAGAGAAAAATTTCAGAAATGAGCTTTCATGTTTGCCTAGCTGAGGAAGTGTCTGGAATCTCTCAGAGAGCAGGATCCATCCCCTCCATTGTTTAATCCACAACACACACACACAGACACACACACACACTCATGCACACACACACATGCACACAGCTGTCGTATCTGTTGCTATGCCACCCGACTTCCGACAGATTTTTGTTTTGACTGAGCGCACCCGTGGTATAAGATGGGAAAAGAGAAAGAAATTGTGGGGAAAGAGTGGACGGATAATGAGAGGAAGGTGGAAAACAAGACGGGTGGAAAAGGGAAAGAATAGGGAAGTGCGACATGTGACAAAAGACGAGGAACAAGAAGAGATCAATGTGGGGGCATTGGAGAAAGGACAGGAGTAGTAACAGGAAAGAAAAGGGAAGCAAAGAAGGTCAAATGAATTGGAAAAGAACAAAAAGGCAGACAAATAACCTGCAGGCCTCTCCCCCATCATTCTCTCCCCACGTTGTTTGGTTTCCACAGACTGCTGGCTGTATTAATACACACACTAATGTGGCATTTCACTGGAGGACTTGGCACGTGGCCAAAGCAAGCTCAATGCCCTCACTCTTTCGTGAGTGTGTGTGTGTGTGTGTGTGTGTGTGTGTGTGTGTGTGTGTGTGTGTGTGTGTGTGTGTGTGTCTGGGCATGCTAACATTAGCTGCTGTCAAAACAGACAGTGTTCCTCCTTTCATGTGTAGTTAGGAGTACAAAAGATGGGAATAAAAAAAGAGCAGAGTGGAGTAAGAGCCGAGCGCTTTTTTTCGCCTCCTCCTCTTCACTGTTCTTCTCATCTCTCTCTCATGTTTTCAATCGGCTTACGTCGACTCACCAGGTCTGGCCGGGTGGTGGGTGGCAGAGCTGGGTGGGGGCAGGCCGATGCCCCCGGGGGGGTGGGTGTGGGGGGGCATGACACAGAGCTCTGCAGCCTTCCTCTGTCTGAGGGGCGGGGCGTCAAGCCACCATGCCTGCGGCCTCCACTAGGGTGCTGACTGCGAAATGCTACAAGAAAACACCTGTGGGGAGAGAGAAGACAAATTGAGTGAGAATAGATAGATTTAAAGAAGTTTGAGTGAAATAGAGCAATTTTCTCCTACTTGCACCTTCATACTTTTGCAAATTCTACTTCTTTGGCAAAATCACATCAAACTGTTGTTGCACAGGGCTACACAAACTAATATGCACACGCACACATGCATACACACACCCGTACACGCTAGCAGTAATGAAGGCTAACGCAGCAGGACGCTGTGTATGCGTGCACGCTCATGTTTGCCAGAAGGCTTCCTTGCATACATTAAAAGTGTATTTCTGTGTGCACCTTTGCTCCCTTGTGTGCGAATGTATGTGCGCGTATGTGCTTGCGCTCAAGCATCCCAAACAAACCCCCGGCATTTCATAGGCGTGAATACTAGATGTGTGTGTCTTTGGCAGTTTACACACTCGGTTTGCCTTTCCCTCAGACAGACCCCCTACTGCTACTGTCTGGCACAGAGACTGACACACAAAGAAGGGACAAAGCGAGAAATGACACAGGGAGTGAGAGGGGAGGAAAAGGGAGGGGGAGGAGGGAGATAAAAGGTAGGTAAAGAGAGAAGGATGATGTCATTAACATGGAAACACAGAGACATATGGACGGAACAAAAGTCAAAGGGAAGAGAGAGAATGAATAGGAAGGCTATAACGCAAAGCGCCATTGCATCTGTTTTTTGAGTATGATTCTACCAAACTACCCTTGGGCAAGGCAGGAGACGGTAGAGTGCTGCTGACACTCTTTGAACTCCTTGCTGAACAAAGGAAGGTAAACAGCAAGGGACATGTCACCTTGAGAGTACATCTAGATCCTGAAATTCAAATATTTTGAGGATGATGGTGTCCAAATGATTCCATAAATTATATCAGCTGTGAAATCTCGGAGGTTATTCTTCAAACTTTTCTAACAAAGAGTACAAGAGTATTCGCGTCAGGCTATTGGGCTGCAAGTTTAATAAGATAGTTCTATAGTATAGTTGCCGTTGATCCACTTATCTGAAATGTCATGGGAAATTGTGGTGCACTAGAAACAAGTTGTGTTACCATTGTGTATAAGTTAGTTGTATTATATTGTTCGCAGTTGTCATTTTGTTTTCAGTACCAACGTGCTGGATGATTGGTTGTGAATTTTCTATTCTTTTGATAAAAAATAAGTTGAAAAAAAGAGACCCAGTCCAATTACAGCAGTGTAATGAAACATATCCCACTTGCTTTGAAAAAGATGAGTCTTCTTGTCACTGTTGAGTCATTACAGGGAAAATAGGTTTGACGAGTGGGAAATTGCCACGGGAGAACGCTTGTTGGAACCTCGGTGCCACATGACTGATGCTCGCTGTTGACTCGCGCCCCCTGGGCCAATCAGTGTAATTTTGAAAATGCCGGAGTGCTGCTGTGTAATGCGTCTTTTTACCCAAAGTATCATCAAAACCCAATCAGCAGAGTGTGAAATATCGCACTAATCTGATTAGGCTGTTGTTCAGTGGTTAGCTGTTTGTGGGGAAAACTCTGAAACGCAAGCAGGCTTTTTTTCCTACACGGCTCATTGTGCCATAAAGTTGGTGAATGTGCATTTAGTGATTATATGTAAATTGGCACCTGTACCGCCTTAGCTGGCATGTTATGCAAAAATGATCTAGAGCTGTGGGAGGATAAAGTGTGTGTGGGGAAAAAAAGGAAAACATAGTGAGTCAGGTAGATATGCAGTAAATTATACTTTCTCTGCAAATGGCCAAGCCGACAAACAGACAACAACTGCAGTCACTTCCAAAAGTAACACCCATCAATCTGCTCAGAGTGTCAGTGAGTTATTTACAACTGGTTATATATGAGTGGTAGGAGAGGGGACGAGGTGAAATAAGAAAAGATAGGAGGTGTTGAAAAGGGACAGTGAAACTATATAGACGAGGCAGGAAGTGCCAGAAGTGTCCGTGAGGTAGAAATAAGTGCCTTTGATAAACAGGGAGGACGTTAAAATTCTGCTCCAGAACATTTTTCTTAGGGACGGTGTGTATTTGCTCCCCAGTGGTGATGTTTGTGTTATCATCATTGCTATTAGTACCTGCGAGACGCTGAACAAAATATAAAGCAATCGTCTAGTCTCTCAGCTCTCTCCCCTCTGTCTTTATATTCCCTCCGCAGCCCATGCTTCCTCACTTCCTCTTCTCCTCTCCGTCATCTCTTTTCTCCGCCTTTCAATCTTTTCACTTTCTTTATGACCTTCATCTTTCAATATTCACCACCCCCTTCCCTTCTCTCTCTCTCTCTCTCTCTCTCTCGTTCCACCCCTCCCTCTCTGGCTCGTTCCTCTCCTTGACAAAGGAACAGAGGCTTGTACCGAGGAGATTCTGCAGATGGATTTCCTGCATGTGATTAAAGTCACATTAGCCAGGCTCTACTGGGAAATTTGTGTTGTTCCTTTTTAAATGAGCACGTGAACGTCATTTCAAGGATTCTGAAGCGCAGATGAGAAATGAAAGGAACTCAGGGAATTTGGGAAGATTCCTCTCTCTGCTTTCAATTTCTTACATGTTTCCCTTGTTTTCCAAGGAAGCTGTGAATTTATTTCAAGACTAAAATAGTAGCGCTGTGGAGCTGTCTTTTTGTTTAAAACATACACTCACTTTATTACACTTCCTGCTAATTTCCATGCATTTTACTCATATACTGTGCAACATCAAACAAAGCATTTGTCACACTTTGAGATGGATGCTATTTTTTCCTTTGTCATAGTTGTTCATTGAATAAAACATTTCTGCTGCCATTTGAAGCTGTGTGAAAATCAATCTTTAATCTCTGTTTCGGCTTTGGGACTGTAAGTGTTGCCTTGTTTTGCATGTTGGCCATTTTTCAAATGATTCATGCCTTTGTGTTTGTTTATTTTGGATTTATTTTGGGGAGGAAAACAATTTGGCTGGGAAGCAGTGAGTTACTTTACGAGCAGAAAGTAAAATCATTCAGTCGTGTCAAATGTCTGCATCGATACAAAATGGTGAATAGCTCATTTGCATCAAATTGTTTATTGCTTCTCTTTCTTTGTACCATTTTGGTAACTCTACTGTGCGCAATCATGCTGCAGCTCTCCTATAAATGATGTATTGGAGGTGTTGCAGAAGGTCACCTCTGTAGCCACATGTTACTGTTCGCCCATCAGTTCCCATCATGTTAAACTGGTGGTGTGGTGGTAAGCCTGTCTGTCAGGCTATTCTCAGAAAGCTTTTTTTACCAATTTGACCTGGATGAGGGGGTAGCCAAAATCCACTCACGCAAACATTCAAACACACACACACACAAACACACGTCTAAATACTTGGTCGCCAAAGTGGCCTGCATGTTGGGGAGTCAAATAACACCTTCTCCTCTCCTCTGCTCCTCTTCTCTCTCCTCTTTCCGTCCTATTTTTTCACTGTTTATTCCACTAACTGTTTCCTGTCCGCACGTAAGCCGGATTTATTCTCCATGGGGTGTTGCAAAGGCTGCTTGATGTGCAGAGCCTCCGGCATGCATTTCCTCAAAAATGTAACCGCACCCCTTGGGGCTGAGATAACAAGTAGAGACCACCAACTGGGATTGGTCAACTCGGGCTGCTTGTGTTTAGTCCTCCATGTTTATGATGCAGGGAAGAGGCTGTCGATAGTGAGCGAGCGAGATGAAGAAAGGCTCAACGTTGTTCTTATTTTTATTCACGCTTGACAAATACATTTCTTTGTGATCTAGCAAATCCATTTCCAGCAAGCATCCCCACTGTCTATAAAATATGTTAATACAATAATGTAAACAGGAAGACTTCAGGAATATGTTAGTTGTAATTCTCACTAATCTGCCGTAGCTAACTCTTTCACATCACGTCTCATCCACCCGTGACGTAGTGAAAGTTGTGTTGGTGCTACAACAGGCATCTACTTGAATCACCTTGACAGAGAAGCTTAAATCCTCTTTGTGCTACTGTGTGCACAACATCTTTGCCCGATTTGCCCACTTGAGCCCACATATTTCAGAGTATTTCATCATTCTTGTGACATGCCCCACTCGGCTCGACTAATCGTTTTTAATCAATATCGCCGGAATTCTGTCCAATTTGCCCCCAAATTGAAATCCACCTGCATGCACTCAAGAGGATGTCTATCCATGTGTGAAGGCAGGTGTGTGTGTGTGTGTGTGTGTGTGTGTGCGCCACGGTATGAGTGTTTGATTGTGCGATTGTGGCCCCTCAATGAGTGACATCACAGCTGTAAACCCACAGCCCAACCATTCAACTTCAGCTCTACCCTATCCTCCCTTTTTACACACACACACACACACACACAAACACATGTACTCACACACATTAGCATTTGACAGTTGGCTGGTGTTTGATTCAGGCCTAGTTTAACATGAACAGTGGTATCCTGGATGAAAGTCCTTGGTTTGTTTTATTTAACCGCCCATCCACTCTGACCTCGTCCTACTCAGACGTTTGTGGACTTTGATTAGAAACGTATTATCTCAAAAACAAATAATCTGAGAGAGTTTCCCACGAAATGTAATTGACAATACAGTTTTGCTGTATGAATGTATTTTTAGGCGATCAAGCTGACAACAGAGAGGAAAAAGAAGTAAACACTCATAATACCTGAAAGGGTAATGTGCATTTACCTGCGTGTGTCTGTGTCTGTGTGTGTCTGTGTCTGTGTAACAGCGCAGGGTGCTAACAAAGGCAGAGAGGGGCAGCCAAACTCATCAAAATCAATTTTTAATGGCTTACTTACACAGGAGAGTGGAGAGATTGGGGCAACACAACACACGCACACCTAAGCACATGCCGATAGCTTGACAAATAGAGCCACACGAGTGTTGACAGGCACATGTGGCAAAAATATGTACAGATGTATAATTACACATGCGTGTGGGTATGCAGACGCATACTGTACATCGGCACACACACGTTGTAAACGTCTGCATGTGTCCACAAACACATATTTTGTTCAAGCATACACGTACATGCAGGCATTCTAATTGTGAACAATGTTATGCTTATTTGAAATAATTATTTGTATTGTTTTATTATTAATATTACTATAGTGTATATAAATTCAGCTTTTTAGTCTAGTACCACACTCTTAATTTACAGTGCACTGCAGCAACTCAACAAAAATACAGTACTTGGGATATGTGTGTGATTGGTTATTCATTCAAGCACATCAATAATATCACCAAGACTGTGGCCACATGTCTGTAGGAAATGATTGGAGGAGTTGTCAGACTAGTCTGAGGTGTTTTTTATTTTTAAATTACAGCACTAACCGTGGACTTAGTCGGTGCTCATTGTTTTCTCCAGGTTTATGTTGCGCCTTCATTACTTAGAGGACATTCATACAATTCCCATTAATTGGTAGCTAATGTAGAGAGGCACAAGAGAGGATATCAGGGTGGAGTGCCTCACACCCACTGCGTTATCATATAATCACACTGCAGCTCTTGAATGTTAATCACTCTTCTATCACACCGTTTTTAAACAAGGTTAGAGCCTACAAAGTGTTCTACAGCAGGTAACAGGTAAAAAAAAAACAGTGGCACGCTGCACGGGATCAACAGGACACCATGTAATAGAAACTATCGAGGGCTTCAGATCGATTGAGATCATTTTCTGTGAAGGTCAGAGAAACGAGAAGCACGACTAGCCTTAAGGCAGCCAAATAAAGCAATTACTGCTGTTTTTATTCCCTTTAGATTCATTACAACTAATGGTAGCTTTCTTTGAGTTAAATACGTTTGTCTGTAAAGTTGTCTATGTCAAGCCCAATAGACAAACAGGGGCAAATGATAGGATATTTATTTTGCTGTAGGAAAAGTGTAACATAAGATTTCTAGTATATTAACACAGATCCACGCTGACATAACCCCCAAGAGAAACAGTAGCACTTAGATCAGCAATTTTGGTTTGGTGGCCAAAGTCTGACCTGCAGCTCACATGACGCCTTGGGCTCAAGAGACACTTTCATGACCACTACATAATAAATGGCTGTAAACATTTCCTGAACTTTTTTGTGATTCCCAATATATAAACTTCTAGGCCAGGATATTTCTTTATGTTCATTCAGCTAAACAGAGCGAGATTTTAATGAACATGCTTTGGCATTGAAGCAGGAAGCCACCCAAACTTCTTTTTGGCATTTTCGCTGTGAGTCACCTGGGCTTTCAGTGGAATACATGGGCCGCCATGTTTGAGTACCTCATGCAATTTTAAAACATCCAAGGGTGGTACATCTGGTATACAGTAGGAGTCATGCAAAACAAAAAATATCCCAGTATTTTGCAGTATTTTTACCTCAGCTAAGCTACATCTCAACAGATTATGTATCAAGTGGTTTGTTATGAGCAGACGAAGACCACAACAATTCGGTTTGTCTTACAATTATGTGGCTCGTGGCAGGAGAAAAAATACAAGGTTATATCTGCTGTATACTTACTCATACTGCATGTTTAGAAATTAGAGTCATACGTATCTTTACAGCGTATCATTTAGTTCCTTTTACCCATGTGTGTGTCACGTGAGTGGTTTACTGCTGCCTCTCTTTATATGTACTTCTTTCATGTTTAGCTGTAAATAAGAAATAGCTGAAAAAAAAAAAAAAACACTCCCATATCCTCACATTCTCCATATTTCCCACCTCTGCAAGCTTTGCCCCAAAACCACAGCCCAAACATTCCAGTGAATGTGCATGTTGTGTGTATCCAGGAAACAGGTTAAGGGCTGACATTTTCAGCATCCACCTCCTCACAGCAGGCACCTTTGGCCCCGTCAAAATTGTCCATTTGTTTGCAGAAAAAAAAAGGCAAGTCTGCCCTCGTCTGCAGTACTTTGTGTGACATAGTATATCTTTAATTCCAGTCGTGAAAAACATGAGGGGCAGTTGAAATGAAGTCTGTGCGTGTGTGTGTATGAGTTAGGAGAAGAGAACTGACACCACAAGCAGACTTACCTTTTCACCAAATATCTCAGACAGCACCAGCCTTATAGCTTTCTGCCATCAGCCATCCTCGCAAAGAATATCCCAAAAATAAAATAAAATAAAAAAGATAAAAAAAATCTCAAAAATAAAAACTGTTGCCCCTTCCTTCAATTAAATAAATCCATACATTCAAGATCCTGGTCAAGTGAATAATGCAAGAATAATCCTCCTTTCTGTACAGAGACAATCCCCCCAGCTTCCATTCAACCCAGCAATAAATTGTGAAAAAGGAGGGATTGTGGAGGGGAAAAAAACGAGGTGAAGAGAGGCTTAGAGACACAAGAGGAGAGAAGAGAGGATGGGGTCTGTAGAGGGAGAGGGATGGAGATGGTTAATCCTTTTCTTCGGATCTATTCCCTATACGAACGATATGTCCAGCGCAGTCCTGTTCGCTGGCTGGAGCGCTGCCGTGTGCGTCTGAGAGACAAGTGTGTGTGTGTGAGAGAGAGAGATGAGTGTGTGTGTGAGAGAGAGAGCGAGAGAGAGAGAGAGAGAGAGAGAGAGAGAGAGAGAGACAACGGCGTTAGGTTGCTGGCGTCATGCGCTTGCCCCTCTGTGTGTCGCTATGTTTGTGATTCCTGCACTCGGCACGCGTCAGAGTGTGTGTGTGTGTGTGTGTGTGTGTTCTTCCAAGCATTTACACTTGAGGGCTGTCTTTCTGTGTGCATGTGTATTTGTGCCCCCACCTCCCCCTCTTCTTTTCCCTATGTGTGTGCAGTCGTGCATGTGGCAGGAGATGTATGTGTGTGTGTGTGTGTGTGTGTGTGTGTGTGTGTGTGTGTGTGTGTCTGTCTTGTCAAATATATAGTAACATTAGTGTATGCTGCCTCTGTCTGCCTGCAGCTCTCCCACTGTGACAGAGATAGGAGATAGGATATGAGGGAGGTGGAATACAGAGTGATAATACAAAAGAGTGAAAGCCAGGGATAGAGGGAGTAGGAGTTGGAGGAGGGGAGGGCAAGGAGAAAGTAAAGAGAGAGAGAGAGAGAGAGAGAGAGAGAGGGGGGGGGGGGGGGAGAGAGAGAAAAAAAGAAAAAAAGAAAGGAAAAAAGAGAAAAAGAGGGGGGGGGGGGGGGGGGGGGGGGGAGGGGGGGGGGATCCAGGGATTTCAGTGAAGATGAGAATCTCCCTCTGCCACATGGGCTTTTCTCCTCCCTCGATTTTTTTCTCTTTTTTTCCCTTTATTTTTTCTCCTCACGTCTCCGTCACTCGACTTTAATTTACATCCTATTCCCTGTGGCAGCTCTCGTAACGGCTGGCTCTGTGTGTGTGGAATATGTTTGTGTATATGGCTGTATGTGCACGTGTGCTTTAGAGTGTGTCTAGGGCCAAGAAGCTGGTCCTCACCAGGTAAAACAATAGATTTTAAGGGTAAATGTTGGAATTAGGTTCAGGATAAATCCTCAAGAAATAAATGTAAGTCAGTGCAATGTCCCCCCAAGTTAGTGGTGTTTGTGTTCATTTGTGGAAGTCATTGTGAGAAAGCACCAAATGTTTTCTTTGGAAGACACCAGTGATAATTTCCGACAGACAGAGGGAGGGTGGGGGAGTGAAGGGGTGTGGAGTGGGGATATGAGCTGGTAGGGGGGACTGTGTGTTTGTTTGCACACAGCATATAATTACTTGGCTGCTTCCTTACATGGACTGAGTCATAGTTGACACACACAAACACTCACACACATTGTGCTGTTAATGAGCATGTGAATCATTTGGCTCAACGGTGCAGCATTTCACTGCATAAGCGGGTGTGTGAATGTGAAAGATCTGGGCGCATCGGTGTGAGTGACTCCGAGGTCTGACACCCAGGTTGGTAAAATACATGGAATCTCCGACGCCAACAAATGTACTCTCTGATCTGTTATCTCTCCTCTTTCCTTCTTATTATTAGCAAAGAGCAATCTTCAAATCATTGAGGTTGCAGCTTCTCATTTCTGGACGGCGCTGAAAGTCACTTTTACAGGTTGAAATGACCAGCAGCACATCATATCATACAACAGAGTGATACGTCTTCTCTCTATAGCCGAACATCTCACGTGGCATTGCATTCTCAGTTTTAAGCCAGGACCTTCAGTGTGTGGATCAAGCACCTCATAAAAAATATGGTGCTCCAAAGTTAGCGAGGTGTCAAATACATATTTAATCGTCAGATCACCAATCGGGACCCCCCCCTACTGTAAGGTATCCAGTGACGAATGACTCAACTCTGAATGACCCCTCAGGTCTACGGAGCATTTTTGCATCTTTCAGCTCCTTGTTTTGGTCTCATTACCTGCAACTTTACCGCAGCAGGCAGCTGTTTTCAGCACCTGTCCAGTACCAGGTATTTTGCTCTACTATACTGTATATATTTATATCCATATACTTCCCTTAGTAAATGGTGGAGACCAAAACTGAGCTTTAAGGACAGTGAATATTGAATATGTCATTTACCAATTCAAATGTACTCATACATTAGATGTTCAATATATCAACTGGCTGAGTTTTGCACAAAAACAGTGTCATCTAAACAAAAGACCAGAGTCCAGAATCTCTAACTGGTCATATTGTAATTAATCAGGACAAATAAATATATTTGTATAAGTATAATGTTATGCATTCATGTATAAAAAGATATGTACCAAGATAACTGTGACAATACATCACAATATGGATTTCAGCCTTTCTATTGTCAGCAGCACCTACCTGTACACCTTCCTGAGTTTGCACACATCACTGTCTGTCACCAGCTCCATGGCTTTGCACAGGCCAAAACACTAGACTGGTCAGCGGCCCGACACACACACACACACACACACACACACACAAATACAACCTGAACATGAGTCCTCTGGTTTCCTGTCCAAACGTGGGCGCTTGTGCTGGCTTCATTTGTCTTGAATGTACTTCCTGGCAAACTGAAATATGTTTTAGCTGCCAGTAGCTGCTGCCAGTGCTGCTGGCTATATAGGACACACTCTTCAGTGCTAGTTATGAAAGATGGTTGGCTAGAATGACTGGAATAGCGGTGAAAGTGCAATATATGGTGTTCCACATAACCTTAGATATTTTTGTCTATTAGTGTTGAAGGACGTTTTGTATCAGACAGAACATCTGCTTTTATAACAGCAAGGTGTTGGCTGTGTGTGCGTGTGTGTGTGTGTGTGTGCGTGTGTGTGTGTTTGTTTTATCCCAAAGGGGTAATTAGTCCTCTAATTAGTCCTGCCCCCTCCTCTCCAGAGAGCAGGGGTCAGTGACAAAGGTGAGCTACAGTGACGCAACCTTTCAGCTGCTCAGAATTTAGTGCCAGGCTCAAGGACACTTTGCAACGGCGGACACTTTGGATCAAATATAGAAAAAATGCCAAAGGGCCTACACTGAACAAAATGTGTGAGAATCATAAACATTTCTTTGCCACAGGGCTTCTCCAGTAATCTAAAATCCCATTGGCTTTTTGTCGAAGGAACCAGAGCGATGCTTAGTTCAGGGTAAAATACTTTGTCCCTGCAGCACAATTGTGATTCAAATAATAGTTCTTGGTAATGTAGCGACCCCAAAAGAAGGCTTGTGTACATTTACTTATCTTACGCTGTCAATTTGGCCTCTCTTTTAAAAGAGTTAATATATCTCAAAAGACTTTAAACATTTTAAGCAATTTTATAACGTTTAGTATCAAATCCCCGACTTGCTTATTCATTACAGAACACACTCCTTTATCCTTATAATTTATTTGCATCTGATTGAGCCACTGTCCCCCTATGGAGAGACTGGAGATTGGCAGCACGTGAGATTTGATGTCCCCTTAGCTGCACTCAAAATTCGGTCTGATTCAACTTTGACTTTGATTTCCGTTGACCTTTCGGGGTGTAACAGATGAAATGGCAGCTGTCTGTGATGTAACCTGAAATCAATCCGTAATAGATGAAAAGGACATTCATCTGAAAAAGGTTTCTTGAGCCCCGAGCCCTTCTTTCATCACCGGGTACTTACTGTAATCTGCCTCTGCCTTCAGTCTTGAATAGAATAATGTAAATCACTTACAATCTTTGCCTCTGCACTGTACTCTGTGTACCTTGCGGTGAGCACATCTTATACCTTTGATAAATTACAGTGGTATTCCAGCGTTGCTTTAACCAGAAATGCTCAAGTATACCGCACAACATGCTAGAAATAATGTACTCATTGGCTTTAGTTTATGAAAGTTAGTTTGTATCATTAAAGAACAATGTAAAGACTGTGACTGGCCCCAAGCTCCTCAGGCAGCTCCTTCGAGACTTTGTCCACTGATTGAGAGGGAAGAGGTTTTTAACACGAGATAATAATGCGAGGTGAGCTTGATTTATTTGGCCCTCCAAGAGATATGTCCACTTTTTTTTAGGCTGTTTACTGTCTGGCAAAAAGGGCCTTCTGGCGTGAGGATCCATTGTTAATGCCAGCACCTCCTGCCAAGGCGACTTTTATGGCCGGTTCTGTTCCATCAATGATGCAGGAAATACGTGTTATGAAAAATGATTACTGGCAGTGGTTTGTAGCAAGAAAGTGTGTTTTTGAACCTTTCTGCCGGGCTATTGTAGTCTCCCCCTGCAGCATTTCTCTATCAGATCTATTCATTCCCCATGTAGCTACAAGAATATTGGTTAGTTTATTGACCAGGAGGCATGATTAAATCTCCACACTCCTTGTTCGTTGCCTCTAATATTGATGATATATAAATTTAAACTCTGTTGCATTCATTATAAGTTGCTGTGTGAACTGAATGGATGCGTATCGTCTCTCCCCTTTTTGCAACAGTCCTCATCCCTCTCTCTCTCTCTCTATCTTCCTCTCCCCCTCCCTTCTACTGTCTCTCTATCTTTTAACACCCCCACCCTCACTCTGTAATTTACTGTGCTATTGGGTGAATGTCAGTGAAGATGAATTGGCTCTAGTCTTCGTATTAACACCGGGTCTGGCCAGGCATGTTTAGCGCTACAACCACTAGTTCCTGCGTGGAGCAAGTGACTTCAAGGCACCATCCATCTTAACACACGCACACACACTCACACACACACACACACACACACACACACACAGAGAGAGAGAGAGAGAGAGATTGTGTATGTCCATGGTGCCATCACAGGAGTCATCGGTGTCTTTGTTCCCATACCGTACCATACCGTATATCAGTGTTTTATATCAACCATGAATTAGCCTCACATTGACCAGACAGTTTTATGGCCCTTTGGTCAATACAGTCAATGAGGGCTGCTACATTAGACATCAATCATGTTCTAATTCATGCTTTGAAACACCTTTTTTTCCAGACAGGCTTTTATCGAATAGCCTTTTGCATTCCCAATAATTTAGCCTTTTTGTTCATTGGTGGTATTCTGGTTTTCCTCCTTGGATTTAAAGGGTTTTGTAAAACACAGTGTTGCATTAAATGTATTTCATTGCCACTTAAACAGTGGCTACATTTACAGTAAATGATCTAACCTTGTTAGATAAGGTTCAGCTTGGTAAACAGAAGTAGGGTAGCAGGCAATGTACTTTACGAATGAATTCAATGGATTGATTTAAACATCCAATGAAAGAGACTCTTGATCTTCTTGGAAAGGTGATGCTTTCTAGGAAAACATGCATCATCAGTGTCGACCTCTTGTTGCACTATATGTATCGCTTTATTTTTAACAATCCATTTTTTCCCTGCTGTTTCTATGTAATCAAACTGCCTTTCGTGCCCAGACAAAAGCAACAAATGCTACATTATTTATT